AGGCAATTCATTTGATTAAAAAAATCAAATACTTATTAGAATAGGAGGATTGAGCACTGATATGCTTTGTAAAGATTCTTCTTTAATTCTTCTTTAATGCATATAATTCTGCTCACTTCCTTAAATATCTTCTATTACCCAGAACTACATCTAATTCCAAAATGTGTATTAGCAAATTTTCTCTCTAAAGCTTAGCATACAAATCTAATTATATCAAAAAATAAGGAATTGCCCTGCTTAAGAGTTCAAGAAATCACCAATTGTTGAGGCAGGTTTTCTCCCACGTAAAATGTCAAATATCCACTTAGGTAATTATAGTCACTTACTTTTCATTAATTATGTCAAAGTCTTAGCAAGCCCTTCATTTCCCAGGAGGCATACAATCTGAAAAAAATTGTTTTATCCATTCATTTTTATTTCAAGATTATGTAATACCAGACTAATGCCGAATCTACTGTTGTTATTAAATAAAGTAAGCAAATAAGCAAAAATAAAAATGAGCAAAAAGAGCTCTAAAGTTAGAAAACATGGTAAAGGCAGCCATTGTAACTGCCAAAAACTATTTTATATAATGATTTAGCGATTTGTATAATTTAAATAATTTCAATGGTAGTCACTTATTATTCTTGCTGTTGGGTCAGGAGGCCAAGAATATAATTTCCATATCAGTATCACAGGAATTTTACAAAATAAAAAATAGAGTATTATTTTTGATGCAACCAGAAAACTAAAACTATATGAATTTATTTCACTGGTATATTCGAAGTGATATTTCTCTGTTTAAAAATAATATTCACTGTCTATCCACTTTTAGTAGCCAGTTTTGCGCCTTCTGTTTTTTTCCAGTTAGTTTCCTAAAAAAATAAAAATAATATTCACTTACAAAGCCATTTGTTATGCATCTTTTAGGTACTTGGGCTACGGCAATAGGGTCACAAAGATGAGTATACATAGTACTTTATAGTAGTCTGAACTTTGAAACCATTGCATGGATTTACCTGGCAGCAGTACTTCTTACCATGTATCAGATGTGAGACCTTGGCTGAGATACTTAGACTTGCTTTGCCTTAGTTTCTTCATCTGGAAAATAAAGACCATCAGAGTGCCTTTCTCTCTGGATTTCTGTAAAGTATAAATAAAATTTCACAATAGGGTCCTACATTATTTGAAATAACACAGTATGCACACATTAAAGGTTAGCTGTTATTTCTACTATTATAAAATGTATAACTTGTCAGGACATTTAAACACATTAGTTGTTATACTACCATGTGACATGTACTATGTAGAAATATTTACAGTGTTTCAAGAACAACTACTTGCTTCTAGATAATTAAAGGCATGTTTTAGAGAGAAGGTGACTTTTGGCTAAGGTAATCATCTAATTTAGCATTCAGGCCACCACCATACAGAGTCAAAGGGCATGCTATTAATGATTATTCTGAAACAATGGACATAAACCGGAACTGAACCAGGGAATCCTATATATATAATAACTCTACTATTACCTGGTTGAAGGATCCAAATGTGACGGGTGGAAAAGGAAGAGATGTGGGATAAGGGATAGCTGAATATATAATCTAAGGATCCTGAAACAAATGGAATTTATAACATAGCAAATAGTTTAGTATGGCTGACATGTGGAAGTATGGATACGGAGAAATAAAAGGATAAAGTTGGGGATTGTCCTTTCAGCCCTGAAATAGCACTTTATTTTACAGATAATGAATAAACATCAGTTATTTTAACCATGGTGTGACATTATCAAATTTGCACATAGTATGATAATTCTAGCTGCTTTGCGTGCTAGAATGTTAAAAACCTACATGCAGAAAGTTGACAATAGTAGTCCAGGCTAGAAATGATGAAGATGTCAATCAAGGGTCTGTAAGAATGAAAAGAAACTGTGGGATTGAGAATTATTTTGAAAATTGATTTAACAAGATTCATTGCGGTATTCGAAGTGCAAAAATTAAGAAAAAGGAAAAAAATAAAACGGACCAAGTTCTATCTTGGATGAGTAAATGAATGGTGATTAAGATGAGGAAGACAGAGTAGGAACAGATTGGGAGAAGAATGTAATGAACTATACCTTAAACACAGTTTATGTGTTTGAGATGTTGCTAGAGAAAGTATCCAGGAGATACCAAGTATGCAACTGTACATTATTGAATGAACACTCAGGATTATTTCAAGTAAAATAAGATTTATAATACTGTCTTTACGTTATGTTGAAACAAATTGAAACAAGAGATTAGGAGTGTATTCTACATTCCTTGCCCTCAATAAATATCCTTAAAAAAATAGCTGTCAATTGCTTGTATAAGGTATTTTTTGTTGTTCTGTGAGAATGGAAATTTTTAACCAAAACTATCTTTAAAATGCCAGCTGGCATAGACTCATGCTCCAGTAAATAACTAACTTTCTTTCCATAGGCAGAGAGCAATAATTGAATAAATATTTGTTAAATTCAACTTAAAAGATCTTGATTGAAGTAAATGTTCAAACTGAGGAGAGAACAAACTGTGCCAAACAAAAAAGGATAATGTAAAATAATTCATTTCTTTTCCTTTTCTATATTCCAAAGCTATATTGGGTGATGGCTGTGGGAGGCAGGAAGGGTAGGATGACAGATAGCACCACCTATGTAATCAGCAACTGCTGCTCATATCAGGGCCACCAGGTAGTCACAGAAAATGTACAGAGTAGAACACACCGTGAAATCCCAAATGCATTGATCCTTCCTCTCTTGGACTTGCAGAGTGTCTGGGAGAGGAAAGTTGTTCTCTTCAAAACCGTCTCTTGGCTTTTAGCTTTAGGCAAAGTATCACAAGATATAACTTGCTTTGGAATATGTGGTACTATGTATTCATTAAGGCAGATACTTCGCATTTTAAAATCATAGTTTGAAGTACTGCATATACTTTGAAATTGTACCCTATTTCTCTCAAATATTTAATTCTCTTTTATTAACTTAATTGATCCATTCAAATATTTAAATATTAATCTAATTACCTTAAGGTAGATATTGAATTAAAAATCAAAAAGACGTACAGTTTATCTACAAAGAGAGCAAGTTTATTTTTGTTTTGCTAAGGAGTTCTGACCCAGTGAATTTTGTTTTAATAAAATACTAATGGACTCTGTCCATGCGAGATGTCTGCTTACTTACTTTTCTGCTGATCCACTGGTTTCTGGTCCTGAGAACCATAGATGCTAATGCAAACCCCTTGAGAACAATTTTACTTCCTGCCAATGACAACATAGATAGGCAGGTGGCCCTATGTCCCCCTATCTGTGATGTTCTCCCTAGTGGATCATTTCCAGAGATAGAGACTATAATCTATGGCCAAATGCTTGGAAATACATATGTCTATTTTTAAAAGTTGGCTACAATATTTTAATTCTGCTCTTATACTTTTAATTACCATTAGCAATCATTATTCTTTCTTTGCTCTCCAAAAGACAATGTCCTCCTTTCCAAGACAAAGTCTGGGCACAAAAGCATGTACATCTGTCACATCCAAGTCATATTAAAATGCTGCTGGAGAATCTAAGATTGGCAGAGAGAGCTGTCATTGGGACAGAATGTCAGTATCCCAGGCCGGGATTGATGCTGGCCACTGACCCAAAATTGCTTCCATTTTCCTTCAACTTTAGCTATTGGTTAAGAGTACACTTTTATTCTGTGATATGTAAAATAGAGCAATTAATGGGATGAAAGTCTGATGATGCCCAGATGAATTCTTCTTGAAGCCTGGAAGATAAAGAAACAAGAGAAACTTCTCTGTTGTGAAATTCCAGTCATCACACAGGTGTGAAAATGAAACAATTTCATATTTAGATTTTTTTGTTTTAAGCATAGCAAAATCTCAACACTATTTATTTCTTTCATTTACAATTTTAGGAGGAAAGGAAGGCATTTGAAAATTGTTTTTGTTGAAAAACCATAAGTAATATTATATTTCTTTTGAAAAATGTGGAGGCTACAGCAAAGCAAATAGTTTTCAAATAGCATTAATCTTTAAAAAACTGTCATTATGAACCTTAACATATACAACTGAAGCTGCACATACATGGTTATGTATGTATGCTTCATCCCAACATGAAAAAAAATCATATGAATTTAAATACTTTCTGACATTTGTTATTGTTAGACCTTTAAATTTTTTTCAATTTAAAATCATAAAACAGCATGATCTTTACTTGTATTTAATCAGCCAATATCAATGCAATAATAGGTTTGAATTATCAGGTTTCAATTGTCCATCAATTCCTTTTATTCTGAATTGAATAGGTCAAAATTTATGCTTTTTCTTGTGAAGATTAAGTTAGTTCACTGGAAATCATGAAAAAGAATCATAATTTCAAATCACTTTTTTGTAATATCATTTTTAATCTATCGAAAAGACTATATATTTGGAGAGTAGAAAACAAACAGAAATTTCTAATGACCTCCATATTTTCATTCACATTTAATTTTTCCTTTTTCTTTTTGGAAACTAATAAAAATATGAGTTTATTTGAACAATTTTTTCTAGTAGCAAGCAGGTGGGACTCCACTGGTACAATAAACGTAATATTTAGGAGAAAGTACTAGACTGAATTGATAAAAATAATTTGTGTATGTTCACACTAATGTATAGTCTAAGACCACCTGTGTTCATATGTATACACAGCAGTAATAACACCAATGTCAGTGTAACATCCACTTGTCACTGTATTCATGCTACTGTTTAGTGCTTAGAAGAAAACATATGTACAGATTTAATCTATAAATTGATTTGCAAAGATTGCCTACACGTTCCTGAGTCATCCTGTGGCTTTTCTGGAGCTGCCTGATTCACTTTGCAGAGCAGCTTCTCCAGCTGCGGCTGGTGTCCCATCAGCTGATGATACACTCGATCAGCTTTGTCCAAAAGTGTATTGATGTTGGATACAGCCTTCTTCCAATCTTCTTCATTTTCAATGGGATCCACTGCACAGCAAGGCTTGGCATATTAAGTCATTTGCTTATTCCTCAAGATGTGCACACTCAAGTATGAAGTTGGTCGGGACAACTCATGGCTCCTAGGTATGTACAGGCCAGTTGATGGCTTGGGTTACATACGACTTCATAGCTAGTGCACCACACACACGAGATAAAACAGGAAGCCTAAAAACCCCAAGCCACGCCAAGGAAAAACGAGAGAGGGGAGGGCGGGGTCACAATGCAGCATCCCGCGGAGGGGAACTCAGCGCACGAGGAGGGAGAACAGAGGGTGGAAGGCCAGCCCGCTTCCATCTTCGCCACTGGAGCTTTTGTGTGGTGGTCAGGGGACTAAGTTCAATGGGTCCTTCAGGAGGCTCTCGGGATCAGTGACTTCTGATCAAAGACTAGCTACGTCGAGGAACTCTGAGAAGGTTTCCACCGGCATGAACTCCTCCTGGAAGGTTTTCAGGGCTTTGTCGGCAGCTTTGTAGCTGGGCATGTCGTGGCGGATGTCCCCAGCGAAAGAGCAGGACCAGCCTCCCTCCATGTTACTGATAGGTACCTTCTTAAACATGTTGTAAATGAGATCGACGAGGGCCCAGAAGAAAAGGCTGCCTTATCCGTCAGCCTTGTGGCTCCACCTGGAGCCACTGCCCAGGCCTGAGAGGTCACCAGCAGCCTCCGCAAGATTTCCACACGTGTGGCTTTCCACGGCTCGGAGGGCAGGATGCGAAGGGCCAGGATTGTGACATAAATAGTGGGACCCGTCCACTTCAAAGGCACTCTCTACCCACTTCTCCTTGGGCTGCTCCAGAAAGCCTTGGAGGTTCTTCTGTTCTCGGGAGTTGCTCGGGTTGTGTTCAGGACGTAAAGCACAGTGTGAATGATGTAGGGGTCAGGTGCATGTTGCTCTCCCGGCCGCCCCCGCAGGTGTCTGCACTGAACGGCTGCTCCACAGCGAACTGCAGGAAGAGCAGTTTGATGTTGTTGAGCTGCTACGTGGGCTCGCGCTGGCCTGTACATTCCTGGAGGTAAGTGTTGTGTACTGCCAAGCAAGTGGCAAAAGCTGATTCAGGGACGTGAGGCCCCAGACCAGATGGAGCGCATTGGTCTTGGTGTTGACATTCTGAAGGGCGTCACTTTCCCACTCTTCCCGGCCTCGGGCCAACCTGACAGCAGCCAGATGGTAGTCGTAGTACACGATGGTAAAGAGGGACACGGTGCTGTGTCCCTGCTCTTTCAGGCTTATTCTCCATCTCCTCTGAGACTACCCGCTTCATGAAGGTATAAATGCCCAGGACCTTCCTGGGATGGAACTTATATCCCTCCCTGCAGGTGCAGCACATGAGGCTGGGTTCCTCTATCAGCTCTTCCATCTGCTTCAGGAGTGCCATCTTGGTTACGAACTGGTCCTTTTCATTTGTCATCATGGCCAGGGTGCCCAGAGCCTTCTGCCTCATCACCAGGGCCATGCTCTTCTTCTCCACTTGGGTCTCCCTGCGGTCTGCATCAATCTTCTTGTTTACATCAGGGTGTTCCCGCAGGGCTTCCGGCAGGTTCTCTGCCATGGTCCCAATGCCCTCGTCACTGGACACCTGCTCCAGCTTATGCAGGTTTGGGATGAAGTCAGTTCCAATCAGAACCTGGATGGCAGGGTGCTCTATGGCTAGGCCCAGAAGCAGCCTCAGGATAAAAGGTAAGGCTGGCAGAGACAAAATCTTTTTCCAGATGTCAACATCCAAGTTCTTGGTGCTAGGGATGTGCTTTTTCATGTAGTCAGGTGCATTCTGGGTGATCCTCTTCTGGAGAATCAGATCCTTCAGCTGGTGCCCATTGCTGTTGTTCTTGATGCCAGCAGCTATTTTACAGAAGCAGTCCAGGAAGACTTTATCATGGCCGCTGTGATCTTCATCATACTTATCAAAGTTGCAGTATGGTTTGAATGGCTCCACCAAGATCTGCATTATCTCCACCTCTCCAAAGGAAAGGTACAGGATGATATGAGGCAGGCCCTGGAGCACGCTGGGATTGGAGCGGACGAAGGTGCTGTTGATCTGGCCCAAGAGCATCATGAATTGATCCTTGTCACCTGTCAGGAGGAGGTTTGCCTTGTCCTCACTCAGGGGCTCAGCATTGGACTCACCGAGAATGATCTCCATGACGCTAAGTACCTTCTCAGCCACAGCTGCGCCCCCACTGTCCTTGCTTTCTTGTTCAAGGGCCAAGTTTAGAGTCCCCAGCGTGAAATTCAAGGTGTTCATTTCCAGTCTGACCAGTTTCTGCCAGTTGACTTTCACCTTCACACAGTCACTGAACAATTTCAGTAGCACCATTAGAAGGTGGCATCCCTGCTTGAAATCTCTGATCCTGATGAGTCTCTTAAGCATGCATTCTGGGCTCCCACACTGAGCCATCACACCAGCTATTTTGTACACTTCTTCATCATCTTCTTCATCTGTGGTAGAATCCAGGGACTCGATGAATTCCTCCGTGGCATTGACCAGCAGCCCCCACATACAATAAACAGTGCTTATGGGCTCTCGCTCATTCATGGTACACCAGACTTTCTTGTAACTTTAGCCACAGGAAGTTCCAAACTAATGAGTTTACTGTTCACTAGAAGCTCCATGCCACTGTCATCTCCCCAGAGGGCCACCAAATCACAGTCCTGGCAAATCTTGTTCTTTTTATCCCTCATCAGTGGCCCGATGCCTGGCTCATTGCTGCTGTATGGGTTCCCAGGCAACCTGCCCTGTAAGAAGGCTTCTTGCTGGAGTTCTTTCTCCAGGGTCACAAAGAACCCAGTAAGTTCATTCTCCTCAGGATAAATGTTGCTACAGAGCCTCTTGAAGATGAACACCGGGCTTCAGTAGTCATCCAGGTTGTAGCGCTTGGCTGTCTCAATGCACATAGCCATGAAGGCCTTGGTTTCTGATTCTGTACCTGTGCTCATGTCCTCCAGCATCTCCAGCAGTATGTCCTGCATCTCATCAATCAGCTTGGTCCTCTGCATCACCAGCTTTCACAAGCACAGGTATCCACTCAGCACAGTATCCATCAAGCGACTTTTAAAGTGTCTTTTGATGAATTCCACCACAACAAAGGAGGAGAGAAGGCCTGTGAGACTTTTAAGGGCATAGCCCTGCTGCGGATCAGTGCTCAGGATAGCCTCCTCCAGGGCCAGCAGATGGGCTATTTCCTTAGTGATGAGGTTGCCCACATAGCATAGGATTCCCCAAGCTGCCAAGTAGTCTTTACAGTGCACGGAAGTGATGAGCTTCTGGTAGAGAGCCAGGAACTCGGCTGCACACTCCCCAGCTATGCTCAGCTCATCCAGATAACTGGTAAGCAGATCCAGGACTTTTGCTTGCGGCTGGGAATGGTGACTTGAGCTTCCTCAATGGTACAGGCTGCCTGGCATGCAGCCTGTGTTGCTGGAGTGAAAAGCACTTGGCGCAGCCAGTTGTTATGCCCCAGTTTGAGATCCAAGGGCAAGATCCTCTTCCCCTGACGACTCAGGAACTGTTTCCACCTCCACACATACTTCTCAGTCAAATAGAGCTCTGATTTGCTGTGGGCTTTCCCACTGCCATCTATCTCTTTGATAGGAAGATACTTCTTCCAGGCATCATAAGATGCCTTGGGGTCTCTCTTGAGCCACAGTTGAGCCTGGGCAGGGATCTCATTGCAATATGGTTTCACTGTGGTGAGGGCCTAGACAAGGACATCCTTGTTCTTCTTGCTAGTGGGAGCAGGTGGTTTAATCAGCTTCTGCAAGATTCACAGGCACCTGAGGGTAATGTTCTCAACCACCATGGGAGTCTTAATGTTCAAAGCCATGAGGAAAAGGCTGAGTACGCAGCCTAGCTGAAGCTCCCAGCAGCTGTCCTCCTTGGAGATAGAATCCGTCAGCAGCATTTCATACTGCAGGCTACTTGTCAGATCAGGGTTGGCCCAGTGGCTCTTTAGGGCTCCTGGGAGCAAGGATGTGCCACAAGGCTGGGTTGGTGGCCAGGGCCCGAAGTAGTGTGCTACAATGTTCTTTAATAGCCGAGGCACAGCCGTAGCACTTGGTGGAGGATGTGTGGCCACAGCCCAGGACAGATAAGGCATGGTACTGGCTGGCAGTGAATGTGGGCTACATGGAGGTCCGGGATGATTTAGTGGCTGCTTCCCTCCGCTGCAGGTCATATTCAAACAGCTCATTGTGTGAAACAAAGACTTTCTGGATGATTTTGGAGAGTTCATCAAAAGAGTTCTTGCAGTCTCCACAGTAGGATGTAACGATGCATGCTGGCGGAAGTGGAGCTGATGCCCCCTGCTGTTCCTGAGTCAGCAAAGATTGCAAAGATTGTCTACATCTTCATTTTGGAAATTTTTCTCCCATGAATTATGACTCATATCCTAACATAAGAACAATTAGAAATAATCTAAAGTATAATTTACTTATTTGTCTTCATTGTTTTAGCAGACAAATGTTATTTCCAATCACATGTGAACATTGTTCTGGAGATTCATACTAATATACTATTATCATTAAATAAAATGGATGCCCAGGAAAACTAGCCATGTTTATATGGGGACCTGCAACTCAATATGTAAATGAATGTGAAGTCTAGGATCAGAATAACTCCTCTAAATGATTTAAAATTATATATTAGCTGAAGAAGGAAAAAGGTATATTTTTGTCTAATGAAATTGCTTAAAGTTTACTCTAAAATCCAAGTGGCGTTTATTCAAAGAACACTTTCCAGAAAGTTATGAGGTTTCAAAGGTGCCATTGGGAAGTTGCAATTCCTCAGAGTGCAAATATATTTTAGAAGAGGATACTGATTGGTCAGTGTGAATTCTGGTAATAGTGTACGCTGGATCAAATGTCTGCATTCCCAGCCACTTACTAAAGTCAACTCTAATTGACAGTCTCAGGGCTGTTTAATTTTTTAATATTGCAATCATCAAGGCTTCCCTCTTTCCTCTCATTTATTTACATTAATAACGGAACCTTAGTAGCTATGCTCAGAGTGAAATATTCTTCTCAGAAACAGTTTACAGAGCCAAACTCCTTTTCAGTGTCAAGTTAGAGCTCGTCATTGATTCATTGTTTTTGTTTTTCCAGATAATATCAAACATGTGTCCCAGATAATATATAGTGAGCATGCTCAGAAAAAAAAAAAAAATCTGACTGCATTTAGTGTGCAAAGTTTGATATCAGATGCCAGAAACTACATATTTTTATGTTGGGCAATTGTTGAGTATTTGTGCATAAAAATGATGGGAAGGAAAGATAACTCATTCATTGTCTAAGTATTCTTCTAGCCATAACTCCAAGGAAGGTTTTTATATTTAGACTACAATAGAATCTAATTATTAAGTAAAAAGAGTAGTTCATTTAATAAATTAGGTTATTTGGCAGAATTATTGTGCCAAAAAAAATGAGTGACAACAAAGTAATATAATTTCCAAGTCATTCTTTTCCATTCTTCATTTCAGTCTATTTACTCAGCTGTCATAATCTGAGATAAAATGGTGTCATTTCATCACTTGCATAAGAATATGATAAGGAATATACTATGGTTGTGCAAAAAAGAAGTAAAAAATTGTGTGACTAGTAAATTGAAGAAATTTTAGATGTTAAATTTTAATTATTTAGAAAAAAGCAAAACTTTGGCATGAAATATCTGAATATTTCTTATATCTTGATTCAATTAGGTTATTCAGACAAACCTTCATTATATGATAGAGCTCTCATTTACATTTGAGACCTGAGGCAAAATTAATTTTCCTTTCAGATGGTATATAATAAAATCCTACTAGTATTGTCTTTCTGTAAGTCCCTTTAGAAAAATGACCCTGGGAGAATTTTAAACTTCTTAAAATACTTGATGGAATAGATGAAACCAAACCCTGAAGAATTAAAGATAGTCAGTTAGCACATATGTCAGTATTAAATAGCCTCAAGAAATTAAAGATCAAATGTGGAATTTCACAGATATGAATTTCTGAGAAATGTGAAGAAAACCTGAAAAGAGTCAGACTGCTTTTCATTGGAAAGTCATGAAATTAAACCTTAAAAAACTACCTTAATCATTTCTCTCTATGTATAATGTAGCAAGATAAGAGATATGAAAATTGCTATAGGCAAATCTTTCTGCTTTTGACCAAGAAGAAAAGTATGCCAACTGGGTCAGAATTAAATGGTTAATATAATCAAAAAATAAAACAAAAATCTGAAGTGTCTACATAAAAACTTTGACCTAATTTTTAAATCACAGAAATTTGGGACTTATATATATATGTAAGTAAAAAACATTTGAAATCTGAGTATCTTCTATGTAAATAACTAATCGTACACTCATTAGGGCAATAAAAGCGATCAACTTTAAAAATACATTGCATTCTAGAAAATAGTAATAGCATTGGAAAGCAAAAGAGCTCTTACAGATTTTATCTAGTCTAGATGGTACAACCTAAGCACAAAAACAAATAGACAACTTAAAGCTTAGAGTTCATGTATCAACCCAAAGTAGGGAAAATGTTCAGTGAAAACAATTTTTCAATAAATATGTAGGTTGTATTTCTGAGTTCCAGATCAGGTAAGGGTGGTGAGTCCCATGGATTCTAGGGAGGTATAGATTGTTTCCTAACATACATTAGTATGTCCACGTAACACTGCTATAGGATTACTGCTTTGGCTCTGAGCAATTCACTCATAAATGTTGCAGCATTATCTTGGCCAGTGAAAGCTACTTGAAACAGGTATATTTTACAGAAATTTGCACCAGATAATTGTGGGAGGTTGTCCTTTGATCTACCATCTAGGTAGCAGCATCTCTTAGCAGGCCTTGTGGTTAGATAAGGTATCTAATAACACCAACTTAAGCTTTTATCCAGAGAGCTGAAAAAGATATTCTTATGTAGAGATGAAAACAAGAAGGATCAGTGACTGTGGTGGCAACAGATACAGTAAATATATAAATCTTGTGGAAATAAATGGAAGATTTATCAGAACTATCAGAAGCTGAATTGAGAATGAAGTAATTGCGTGTAACATAATAGAATTCCACTACCCTTGTGTAGGTCCAGGAAGACTTTATACATAAAATAAACTATAAATATTGACAATACCAATAGACTGTAAAATATTTGCATTCCCAGCAAATAGCTTAGAGCCCAGCATACTGCATGTCAGCTGGAACTGTTTTTAAATGAATTAATACAGGAAGGAATGAAATAAAAAAATACATTTTTATAAAAAATGTATTTTGTTCATGGGATCATAAACAAGAAGAAAATGCAGAATACCTAACTGGGAGAAATATTCATCATATTTATTTAATATCACTTCATAGTTCTTAATATGTGTGAACTCTTTTCTTCCATCTGACATCTTTGCAATTAGTTGAAAACAATGGGTTAGGCGCTTGAAAATGTACCTAATTAGCATGCAGATAAAATATGTGTTTTATATTAAAACTATGTATCAAATTAATATGTGTCATCCACCAACAATTATATTTGATTAGTCATCCCACATAAGAAATATCTAGGAATTGAATAAAGCAGAGCACTTTGTTGTGTGATTCTCTCATTCAGCTCAATTAAATATAATTTCTACTTTGTAGCACTAAGTAAATTGTAGGATAGGATCAATGGTGACTCCTTAAAATAATACATTCCAGAAGCTTTCAGTGTGGGAGCACTTTGATACTAAAATAGAATTCTGAGGTGAATTTAAATGAAGTTGTATAATCATTACTAAGAATTTTAGCTACAAAATGCTCTTATAGAACAACAAAATGTGTAAATACATTGGAAAATTTGCAATTGTGTTAACTTTTTACAGTTTTTTCAAGCAAGATTTTAATTTTGGTAACATTTATGGTCATCTAAAGTACATGGTTAGATAATTCAATCTAAAATGGAGAGTGAAATCTCTAAACTTTATTTGGATTCTAAATTGAATTCAAAATAAGGAATCCAGATTCATACATGGTTATTTTTTAATCTGCAAGTTTACTGTAATTAATTGTAATACTACCTATTATACTAACTTTAGGAGGAATTTAGAAAATAGGGGGTTTTAGAATTTGATATAATCAAGGGGGAAATTGCCTACAGATGCCAACAAAAAATGTCTCAGGACATTTTAAAGAATGGGATTAATGGATATATTTTTCTATTTGAATATTCTTGAATGAATGCCTTCAGAAAATAAATGAAATATTTAAATTTAAGTTATAAGTCAAATAGCCATATAAAAGTGTTCTTTACATTATTTAAAAAAGAAACATCTGGCCCTTGGTGTGCAGATGTTTCTTTTTTAATAATGTAAAGAACACTTTTATACGGTCATAAGCATTCATTTCTATCTGTGCTTAGAAAAACTATGAGAAGCATATCACTGAGCATGGAGGAATTGCAGATTAAGTTACACAACTGTATCCCTTCTATTTTCCATCCTCAGGTACTCCACGGACTTCTAGAAGAATTGAAAAGTAGTATTATGATAGAGTTGACAAGTCTAGATAATTTGTTGGCTATAGGGGGCAAGGAAAAAGAGGAATGGAATCAGAGCTCTGATATTTTGATTAAGGATAAGTGTAGATAGGGAGGTGAGTAAGAGTAATGTGAAGGCACACTATTTATAAAAATAAAGGTTGGAGGAAAAAAGGTGTGAATCTGAAGTTAATGAGGTAGCATTTTAAAATTTGGAGCTAAGGCTCAGAATAGAAACAAGAGTTAAATATATAAATTTACAGGGAAATTATTCACATAGCAATGATAAGTAAAGCTATGATTTTTGGATGAGTTTTTAGATAAAGGGGAGATTTTTAAAGGAAGATAAAATTGGCATGAAATTATATGTTTGAGGAGAC